AGGAAACCACTGTATGTACTCAGCATTTGAGAAGTCCTTGGTGTGTGTGTGGGGTGGGACCATGGGGTGGGGGATGGATAGAAGTCTAGGAAGGGATGAGTCTCCGAGGGCCCCAATTTAGAAGCTTGTGTGGGAAAGCGAGGGCTGGGGAAATTCTGGGACCCTCTAAGGGAAGGGCATGCCATAACTCTGGTGTTCTGCTGGCCTGCACTGGGACTTTTCTCGCAGCGCACGCTGCCATTTGAGGTAGAACCAGACAAGGCAGGCAACCTCTCTAGAGATCCCGTGCCCTCCTCTGCAAAATGGGGATCAAGATAGATTCTTCCCAGGCCTGTGAGGGTTTGATGGAAAATCCACATCTCCCACCCAAACCCTGGGATTCATCCTAGGTCCCTGTTGGCCCCTCTGCCTCCCCCCTATCCTTGCTGCCGTCACCTGAGCCTTGCCTGTCTTGCCTTGCTAGCACTCTATTCCCTCCATCTGCTTGCTGAGGCAGACACTGCCAAAATGATCTCTGCAGAGGGTGCTTTCCTGGCGAGGCTGTGAGCTCCATGGCATGGAAGCCCAGAGCACTGCCCTTCGGAAAGCCAGTGGGTTTGGGGGCCGGGCCTCACTGCAGCCCAGCAGCCCAGGCTATGCTTGCTGTTTGTGCCTCTGCCCCGCCGGGAGCAGGGAGGGCCTGCACCGAGCTGACACTCCAGTAGCATTGGGACTGGGAAAGTGGCTTTAAGGTGGCTCCATGAGTTCAGGCCCCCACCTGGCCAGGACCCACGCATGACTACTGCCCTCACAGATTCTAGAGGGTGATGGAAATCTTGTTTTGGGGTGGCACTGTCATCCATGAGTTTATCCTGGCTGGAGAAGATTAGCGGAAGACACCATAGTCTACGCACCACAGATATTTTGAGACTCCCTGGAGCAGTAGTTCTCAAACTTGGGCACCCAGCAGAATCCCAAAAGGGCCAGAAAAAGGGGACCGCTGGAGTCCACCCTAGCCCGACTCAGTTTCTGGAAGTCTGGGCTGGGGCCCGAGAACGGCATCCCTAAATAGACCCCGGGGACGCTGTCCCTACCAGTCCGGGAACCTCACTCAGAGAACCACAGAGCTAGCATTTGTACTTCTCCCCCATTTTGGGTACTCAAGCCCTGTTCAGGCTTTGTGACTCAGGAGTCTGGATAAAGTATATTATGACGTTGTAGGAGTGAAACTTCTTGTTATGGAAAGAAAGTTAACAGGAAGGTCAGTTGAGCCTCGTGTGTGAAACAAAACATTCTTATTTTTCAGGGTGGTTTGGTATCCGCAAAGATTTCTGTCAGTTTCTGCTTGAAATCTTCCCATTTCTACGAGAATATGGAAATATTTCCTATGATCTCCATCACGAAGATAATGAAGAAACCGAAGAGACCCCAGTTCCAGAGCCTCCTAAAATCGCACCCATGTTTCGAAAGAAGGCCAGGGTGGTCATTACCCAGAGCCCTGGGAAGTATGTGCTCCCACCTCCCAAATTAAATATCGAAATGCCAGATTAGATGCCACTTCCGGGGACAGAGCTAAAGTGGACTGGGACGCGCTCTCTCCACCTTCCTCTGCCCCCTCGTTCACCCCACAAACCAGAACCAGTACTGGAGCTGGGTCTCCAGGTACGTCCATCTCATGCCTTGTTTGCATCCTGCGCCTATCAGCCACTCACCACGACGGGACGTGGAAGTGGCAGGTGACAGGGGTGTGTGCCAGCAGATGTGGATGCCAGGAAGAGTGTGAGAACAGGGGCGGGATTTCCATCTGTCTGGGAGGGGCTCCAGGTACCCCTCTTCCTCGTCAGACCCACGGGGGGATGGCTGCTTACCAGGTCCCCAAAAGGAACATCTGTCTACACGGTGCTGAAATCCCAATCAAAAGTGTTGTTTAGAAATGTTTCTCTACGGGGTGACCTCCTGCAGCTCGCTCAGCACTCCCAGGTCCTCAGCACTCCCAGGTCGTAGCTGGCGCAGTCAGTAGGAACTGTAACTATGTCTCTGATGCACCACGTGTTTAGACACAGCACAGTCCTTTTTTCTGTTCCTACCGTGGAAGTAGTTTCTCTTTGGGCATGCTGACAGCACTTTTTCATAGCCTCACCGATGAGCCCTTTCTGCGGGAGTGACTCCATGCCTGTATACAGAGTATTTATACAAATGTTTTAGCATCTTCATATGCGGTGTTAACCCCTAGTTCTGTACAGCACATTCTGTTCAAGTATTTTTTTTACAAGCTTGTGCTGTAGGCACATGATCTGCTGCAGAAGTGGACACCCGTGGCACACCCACCCCGCCCCAGTGGGGTGCCATGCCTTCCTGGGACATTGCCACTTCTGCCCTGGAACTCATGCAGGTACGTAGTAGCTGCTATTGCCAGAACAGCAAAGCCAAGCAAGAGATGGTCCATGCTTTTCTGACGTTCTCAGAATAGTGGCTAGCCTAAAACCTGACAAGCGCTGCTTGAAGCCGGAACACTGGAGAATGTCACTGAGAGCAGAAATGGCCACGCGGGTCACGATTATGCTTAGGAAAGTCTCCGGCTTCCCTCCTGCCAGCAACAAGAACGCTTTGGGGTAGGCACGATGTTTTCACGTGTGCGTGCCGTTTCTCCAAGCACTGCAGGTTCCGCCGTGTGCCGGAGGCTACAAGTTTCACATCCTCCTTCCCGAAAACAAATAGGTCCTATGCTGAAAAAAGGGTAAAAAATGAGTACTGATCTTCCCAGCCAGGAGAAGAGTGTGGCGTTTTAACACGACCAACTGCTCGCCGGCATACTTGGGGTTAATTCAACTCTGCTGCGAACATGACTCCGCCCCTGGCACTGGCCTCCAGCAAGCCTGTTCTTCTTGGGGTACGGGGGAGCAGGATGGTTTAGCCTTTCCTGCTCAGTGTGTAAAAAATTGTAGCGAAAGCCACTATTTTTGCTCTCTTAAACTGTTCAATAAACTGGTTCCTCGTTTTACATGTGCACGATGTGTATCTTATTTGCTGGATGGCCCAGGAAACTGGAATGGCCCTCTCAGCCAGCCTCAGAGGAAAGAAATCTGTAGCTGGCACAGGCAGCCGAGTGAGGCTGGCGGCTGCTGGGACACAGCCTTTAGAATGAGTCCTTGAGTGCACAGCTCCCAGGGATATATGGGGTAGCGGGAAGGAGGGGACGCTGCGCAGATGCCACTGTTGGCTGGGCTACACCGTGCCACACTTGTTACTGCTTAGGAGGCTTTCTGGAGTGTTCCTCGGGTGCTAAGACAGTCTGCAGCAGACACTGTCCTTTTACTGCTGCTGGTCCTCGTTTGCTCCCCAGTCATGTCAACAGCTGAGGACTGCTCATGCTGCAACAAAAGGCTCTGCAATTGCTGTCTAGCTAGCCCTAGCTGTCTCTAGAGTTCTGCCTGAACTGAAACTCAAGTGGGGTTCAGCTCATGACTTGGGGCAATTGACGAGGAAATCCACCAGTTGCTGTGGCTGGAAGGATTTGCAGTCCTGTGGGTTGTAACCAGAGGCCACAGGTGGATTCTGCCTCAGGCTCATGAGATTTCCGACTTACTGTTCAAGAAAATGCCTTGTGAAGTGACAACAGTAGCTATGACCCAACTGCCAGGTGCCTTGCTAGTTCCTATTCGTCCCACTGGATCCTCGCAGCCCTGGGAAGCAGGTGCTACTACTCTTATCCCCAGGAGGAGACAGAGGCTGAGAGAGGTTAAGTGACCTGCCCAAGTCACACAGCTTGGCAGCGGCCGGGTCGAGACACCAGCATCAGCAGTCTGTTTGCAGACCCCTCACTGTCACCCCCGAGCCAGTGCGTCTTGGGCCCTGGGGTCAGGATGTCTCAAGCGTGGAGGCATCACTGGTTTGTGGAAGTCTCTGGAAGGTCCCTGAGCTCTGTGCCCAGAATTGAGTCAGGGGAATCTGTAGAGAGGTGGCCCTGTGTGTGGGGACAGTGTGTGACACAGACACTGCTTTGGAGGAACGCCTCTCCCGTGACCTCTTAGCATCACATCCCAAAGGAACAACTTTTGCAGAGATGGACCTCTGGGCACAAACCCACGTGCGTTTCTCTGGAGACACTGGCCAAGGAAAACAAGACATGCTCGAAGGCCAACAGCTGCATGCCCCACCACGATGTGACTGCAGAGACCCGGGGTGTAGAAGAGTGTCTCTGCTTGGTGGGGGGACACAAGCGGGCCAAGGAGAGGCGGGAAGAAGGCAGCCTCCGACTCGCCACTGGACTGCATGGAGACGCTGGTGGGGCAGTCAGCTAAGCCCTTTGCGTAAGTGGCCTTCGGGCATCTGCGTGCTGGGGACCGACAGTGGGGGTGTGTTAGGTGGATCTGTTTGGAGCACATTGCTGCCGCTGGCTAGGACAGGGTAGAAAGGGTGGCGTGGCTACAGCCTGACCCGTGGGCACCGTCCTACCCTTTATTCTGTGCTTCAAAGTGTCAGTCGTGCTGGTGTCTGTGGGCTCGTGACTCAGACGGTGAGCTCTGACCTTCCTGAGCCAGGGCTTTGCTGTGGTTCTGCCTGGCTCAGGAGCTCTAGGACAAGGGGGCCGCTCCAGGTCTGCACCTAAGGTGTGGCAGGGCCCCTCAACACTCCTGTGTACTAGTGTCGTCTTTCCCATTGAAATGACTGTGAGGACTAGAATGTGCACATGCAGATGGGCAGCTACTTGTCTGTCTTGGCCCTTTATTACATAACTTGCTGGGTTTGTGGAGATGTCACCCCCCAGCAGTCAGAGCCCGTTTGTGATGTCGTGGGGCTGGTTACATGACTGCCAAGGGGTGCTGCTGGCCACACTGCACTAGTAAGTTTGCCAGATGGAGGACAAGCCATCACTGAGTGTGGCTCTCTGTGAAGAAAGAAATTCGAGAGGACAGGGTCATGGCTTGGACAGGGTGCCTTTTCCTCCCCAGTTGTACTCAGAGACCTACCTTCACCCAGCAGATCCTTCCCCTGCCTGGGATGACCCAGTGTCCACTGGGAGCCCTAACTTCAGGCTGCTGACAGAAGAAATCGCTTTCCAAGCTCTGGCCGAGGAGGCTTCATTCAGAAGGCCGCGCCCTGATGGTGACATCCCGCCCCAGGGAGAAGACAATCTCCTCTCCCTCCCTTTTCCGCAGAAACTGTGGAGACTGGTCAGCAGCAATCAGTTTTCATCCATCTGGTGGGATGAAGGAGGGGCTTCTATAGTGATCAATCAAAAACTCTTTGAAAAGGAGATTCTCAAAAGGGACGTCGCACACAAAGTGTTTGCCACGGATTCAATAAAGAGCTTCTTCCGCCAGCTAAACTTGTATGGCTTCCGAAAACGGCGTCAATGCTCTTTCAGGACCCTCACCCACGTTTTCCCCGCACAAAGGCCGGTCTCCATCTTGAATAAGGTAATGAACGACAAGCCTCTGGAGGGGTTAAGTCTGTGGGCTCTGGGTCCCGGTCGGGTGGAAGTCCCAGGACTGCCTCCTGGGAAGTGGGTGACCTCAGGCAGGGTGTGGGGCCATCACTGTGGGCCTATGTCTCCCTCTGGGTGGAGGTGACATGAACTAAGAGTGAATGTGGAGAGAGGGCTGAGGATGGTGCCGGCCCCTCTGGAGTGTGTAAAATATCACAGGTGCTAAGTAGCCGTATCTGCATGTCCTCCTACCCGGGACCAGCCATGTCCTCTGGTGGTTGCTGTGTCCCCCTGACTCCATAGCGCTTTACCCTGTGAGGTGAGCAGGCCAGGGGAGTCCGGTATTTGTACCACTATCACCCTAGCTGGTGTCGGAGAAGTGCTCAAGTTGAAGCGCTGAAGGGCGCCTGGCACAGGAGGTGCAGATGCTCCCGCTGCCCTTGGTAGGTGGGGCCCCTGGTGTGGAAGAGCCAGTGCCCAGGACCTCCAGCCCAGCTGGGGTGCATTCTGTTGCCAGCTGACACTGTGGGGGAGGCCCAGAATCATCTTCCCTCCTGGTCTGCAACTTCAAAGACCCTTTCCGCCGGCCGTGGCCACCCTAATCTGCCATTTTGAGGCTTTTTCCAAGACGGAAAGGCCTGCCACAAATTGGTAAACCTTGATGATGTGAACGCGAGTCCCCAGCTTCCTTTGGGGACTGGGACCTTTTCCAGAAAGTCCTCCTGGGCCAGTAGAGTTCTCTTGCACAGGGGCGTAGATGGTTGGGAGTTGCAGTTCATCCTTGTGACTTGCAGTTTCCTTTTCTTTATTTAAACTTGGACTCATAGTTAGAGTTCTACTGCCATCCCTACTTTCAAAGAAACTCCCCTCACCTCCTCGTGAGGATGAAGAGAAGAGTGGGCGTCAAGTCTGCACCAGGACATCAGGAGGAGGACAAGCCAGAAGCTGCTGGATCCTGTCTGGCACCAGCAGACACTGAGCAACAAGATCACACATCTCCGAATGAGAATGATCAGGTCACGCCGCAACACCAGGAAGCGGTGGGTCCCAACACCCAAATCAGAAGTGTCTCTGCTCTACCAGCAAGTCCTGTGATGGTGCCCGATCCCGCCATGGCAAGTGACAACACTCCAGTGACCCAGCCGGCCGGCGAGTGGTCAGAGGGCAGCCAGGCTCACGTCACTCCGGTGGCCGCTGTCCCTGGGCCTGCAGTGCAGCCCTTCCTCTCTGTCCCCGGATCTCCCACCCAGATGAATTCTTACGGGCCTGTGGTGGCCCTTCCCACAGCATCCCCCAGTACCCTTGCCATGGAGACCACAGGACTTCCTGCGCCTGGCATGCTGCCCTTTTGCCATCTCTGGGTGCCGGTGACCCTAGTGGCTGCTGGGGCTGCACAGCCTGTTGTCTCCATGGCCATGTTCCCCCATCCCCTAGCTCTGCACCACCATTGCCCCCACAGCCACCGCACATCACAGTACATGCCAGCTAGCGATGGCCCCATGCATACCCAGACTACGCAGACCAGCGCACATAGAGGCGAGCATTTGGGCAGAAAATGTGCCGGTCAATAAATGTGTCACAAAATGAGTAATTTTCTGACTGCACAAAAGAGTCTTCATGGTCTCCGTCCTTTTTGTTTCCTTGCAGTCGAGTACCCCCTCCGACATCTTTGGCTTGCATGATAAAGACTTCAGCCTAACACACCTCCCTGGAAAAATGCCCAGGAGATACTCGAGCAGGTGCTGGGTTTTAGGGAGCCCCGCAGACATCCTGCCTCTGCTCATTAAAAATTACCTGGAGCTGGCCAGGTGTGGTGGCTCACGCCTGTAATCCCAGCACTTCGGGAGGCCGAGGCGGGCGGATCACAGGTCAGGAGATTGAGACCATCCTGGCTAACACGGTGAAACCCTGTCTCTACTAAAAATACAAAAAATTAGCCGGGTGTGGTGGGAGGCGCAGATAGTCCCAGCTACTCAGGAGGCTGAGGCAGGAGAATGGCGTGAACCCGGGAGGCGGAGCTTGTAGCGAGACGAGATCGCGCCACTGCACTCCAGCCTGGGCGACAGAGGGAGATTCCGTCTCAAAAAAAAAAAAAAATTACCTGGAGTTGCTCGCTGAGTGCCAATTGTGGTGCTAGCATTGATGGCCGAGGGTTCACAATGTCACTGTGTTGCTGGCCATACCTTGTCGTGGTGGTGCCTTTATATAACAGGATCTTCACTTTACACACAGATGAGATCACATCTGGCTTTGTCATTGGGTTAAAAAGTGCCCTTGTTACTTGTGGAGGTCACAGATACTACCAAGGAGTCCTACAGGTTTACGGTTTAGAGGGTGCTCATTAGTGTCTAGTGGACAGGATTTACGTTTGGCTTTTATGTCTGTACTGGAGCCGGTGGGGTTTTTTACTTCCTTCCTTGTTTCCCCCACTATGCCCCCACTTTTTCTTTCTTGTTTTTTTTTCCTTCCTTCCTTCCTTCCTTCCTTCCTTCCTTCCTTCCCGTCTCTCTCTCTCTCTCTGTCTCTTTCGCTCCCTCCATTCCTTCCTTCTCTTTCTTTCTTTTTGAGTCAAAAATTAATTTAAAAGATGTCATGTTTTAACTAAGGGAGCAGCCTTTTCTGGTGACTTGGAGTGTTCAACTTAGAACACATGCTATCATCAATGAGCCTCTTTGACTGAATGATCTGAGGAAATAGGTTCAAGTTCTTACCGTAGACACAACTGGGCACAGACATCAAAACAGCTCTGAAATCAGGGTGTGCAGACAGCCCCAACACCGACACATATACCTGTCTGTGATTTTTAATTTGACAGTAGGTGGCAGAGCCCTGGGAGAAGTGGGAAGAGGCCATAAGAGAATGCAGACATGGGAATGGATTAATTCACAGTCCAGCCATGGTCTGCAGGTGGATCTCCCTGTCTCGACCTGCTCACTTACAAATGGGTGCTCATTTACAAATTGGTGTGAATCACATTTCATCATTTGTGAGCTCCTTAGCTTCCAAGAAGTACAATTTTCACATGTATTTCTTGGACTTTATACATATGCCTCCAGAGTTTGAATCATGCAAAGATGCTGCCACTTAAAAACCTCTTTCCTGGCCGGGCGCGGTGGCTCATGCCTGTAATCCCAGCACTTTGGGAGGCTGAGGTGGGTGGATCGTGAGGTCAGGAGATCGAGACCATCCTGGCTAACACAGTGAAACCCCGTCTCTACTAAAAATACAAAAAATAAAAATAAAAAATTAGCCAGGCATTGTGGCAGGCGCCTGCAGTCCCAGCTACTCGGGAGGCTGAGGCAGAAGAATGGTGTAAACTTGGGAGGCGGAGTTTGCAGTGAGCTGAGATCACGCCACTGCACTCCAGCCTGGGCGATAGAGTGAGACTCCGTCTCAAAAAACAAAACAAAACAAAAACTCTTCCCTACAAACTTATACCGCTCCAATCCTGGTTTTCCTGTAAATCTCAGCTTGACGCAGTGGCTCACGCCTGTCATCCCAGCACTATGGGAGACTGAGGCAGGTGGATCACGAGGTCAGGAGTTCAAGACCAGCCTGGCCAAGATGGTGAAACCCTGTCTCTGCTAAAAATACAAAAATTAGCCAGGCACATTGGCAGGCACCTGTAATCCCAGCTACTCAGGAGGCGGAGGCAGGAGAATCGCTTGAACTCGGGGGGCAGAGGTTGCAGTGAGTCAAGACCACGCCACTGCACTCCAGCCTGGGCGACAGAGTGAGACTCTGTCTCAAAAAAAGAAAAAAAAAAGAAAAAAAAGATACTGTTAGAAGAAAGGGACAAAAATATATAGATGGAGAGAAAATATTAGTAATCTGATGTCTGATAACTCATATGCTAAATAAATACCAAACTTTTAACATTCAACCATTTGGAAACAAAGAATCCAATTAAAGATGGAAATCATTGGAAGACATTCACCAATGAAGATACACAGAAGTACATATACATTCACCAATGAAGATACACATATGAAAAGATGATCACCATTAATTATTCACTAATAATGCAAATGTCAACAGCACTAAGATTCCTCTACCCACCTCTTACAATGGATAGAATTCAAATACCTCAGAATTCCAAATTCTGGAGAGGATGTGGAATTCTCATTCATAGCTGGTAGACAAGAAAAATGTTACATTCACTCTAGAAGGCCTTTTGGCCCTTTCTTAGGTAGTAAAACAGACTTACCATTAGACCCATCAGTCGTACTCCTAGGTTTTACCTAAGTGAATTGGAAACTTGGGTTCTCACATGGAAAATCGTGTACACGAATGTATATAGTAGTTTATTCATAATCACCAACCAAGATGTCCTTGAAGAGGTGAATGGGTAAAACCAATGGGACATCCACAAACTGAAAGTGTATTCAAAGTTCAGTCTACCCTCAAATATTCCAGGACAGGAAATTTTGGAGGCCAGTTCAGCCAAGTGGCAAGGGAAAATGAATCACCATCTTATCTCAACTCTTCCAATGCATCCAAAACAAGGGCAATTGTTCAACTCATTCTCCCAGGCTCGCTCTCCTGGATTCAAAAACAGATGAAGGCACCCAAGCACTCATGAAAAGAATTTGTGAGGCAAGTGTTCACTCATATCGCAGCACATCTCATAAACAGATAATCACATATCCAACACAACAGTGGATTAACCACCTGTATGCATGGAATAAGAATACGATTAAATGTTAGCAAAAAATTCAATTCTAATTCCCTGCGTACAAGGTAGACTAGAAGAAAAAAAACAGTCATGACAATGGGTACAGGAAAAGGCTCTGAAAGAAATTCTATGTAAGTACAAATTAACAACGTTTAGCAAACTAACATTAAAAGGAACTTCCATTTCCTAAAATCAGCAGCAAGCATAGGTAAATGTGAAATGTCAGAAGCTCTGCCATTCACGGCAGTGACCAGTCATTGACATATGCTGTCACCATTACCATCCACATCTGCAGTGAATATCAAAATGAAGAAGAGCCAGAGCTATGGATGACAAAATGAAAATGAGATACGAAGACTGCAAAGAAAGAGATAGTATGTGTTAACTATATGATTGTCTGCATGGAAAATTCAAAGGAATAGACACATTGATTATTCAAATGAGTAAAAGACTTCAGAAAACATCATATAGAAGATCATTACAGCAAAGTCAAGAGCCTTGCCACACAAAAGGAACTTAGTGCATAAAATAGAAAATAGAAAATATACCATTCACAACAGCATTAAAATCCACAATGTGAATAAGAAGAGCCTAACAAGACCTTTATGGAAGCAACTGTGCGAAGTTGCTGATAGACTCAGGGAATAAATTCAAGTAAATGGATCTGTATACCATATTCCTTGATGGGGAACAGAATACGGCAAAGATGTAAATGCCACTTAAATACAGAGTGAGTGCCTTAACTGTCATTGCCAAAGTGACAACCAAGCTCAGGTTGCTGTGCTCTGCTCCCCAAATCAACCCCAGAAAAATATAGAAGGGAAAAGACAAAATATATATATATATGTGTGTGTGTGTGTGTGTGTGTGTGTGTGTGTATACACACACACATCAACATCAAAACAGAGAAAGCCCTGGGGATGACTTAAGACTGTGCTCAACTAGTACTTGTGTTTGGGTCCAGGGAGCAGCAGGGAAATCGAGGAGGTCTGTACCCTGCATAGATGGCAGATTACAGGATAGGTAGGAGAAAGTGTTTAACATTCCACCCCATATCATCGCAAAGCCTGAGGCAACACCACAAAATCTGGTGCCAGTCGCCCTGGGGTAATATCAGGACACCAGGAAATTTGAGTTGATTTAGACACTATGGCTCCAGAGTTCTGCTAACAGCCACCTGAAACAAACTTAGTAGGAGAAGACCCGCCTTCCAAAAACTTATTATTTTAATGGAATATAAAGAATGAACTAGGAATAGAATAGTAAGTATGTGTGAAACCCACATACTATGAGTAGATATTAATAAAATATGTGTGCATATATATAGTATAAAGTCTACAAATACAAACGAATATGTATCTAAAGATATATACATATAAGTACAGATAATTATACATATATGATATAAAGATATAGATGCATGTATATATACCTATAAGCATAAATGTATATGATGTCTAAAACAGGTATGTATATAAACAAAACGTACATATAACATATATAATGTACATATACAATGTAAAATTTATTACCATATGAATGAGGATTAAAATATGAAAATCACTGATCTGGACTCTGATATGTCGGATACCTTCAAAACACATGGCTTCTCCAAATCTCTTGCTGCTGCTCAGCCTCTTCCCTGTAAAAATAAATCTTTTAGGACAAAAGGTTTGCAAAGTCTAGCTCTGGCTGGGGAGGAGCCCCCATGGGAAGGTGTGCATCTTCGCTCAGAGGTCCTACAATCACAGGTGCTGCAGCCCCCCAGGGAGCATCTAGCCTTGGACCCACAGCCATTCTCTGCAATGCGTGCAGCTGAGCAGATGCTCAAAGGTGACATGAACAGATCATCTCCCACCCATCACTTCACCAAAGAGCAGGAGCCAGGAGAACCCTCCTGAGTGGGGACTGAAGGTTCACCCTCCCCACATAGAGGGGCCACAGAATCCAGCTCAGCCCCTCCTGTCAGCCCTGGAAGACCTTGGCAATGTTGTCACCCCGACCACACCCCTCCCCTCACTGCCACCTCATGTGACTGGGAGTCAGAGACTTGGTCCCAGAGGAGCAGACCCAATCGGCAGAGGATGGGGATCCAGACCCAGGCATCAAGGTCAGGACCCCCTGAGGGATGACTGAGGGCCCCTATCCCCATCCCCACCCCTACTCCGCCAGAACCGGGTTCAGCCCCTACTGTCGACCCAGGGAAGGCCCAGGCTTGGAGGCCGGATGTGACGTCACTGACGCGCGCACTGGGGGGCAGAGAGAAGGGACACGCCTCCTTCTGAGGGGCGGCTTGATACCGGTGGAGGGAAGCGGGCCCAGGCTCTGTGAGGAGGCAAGGTGAGGTGCTGAGGAAAGACTGAGGACGTCCCCACCCCAGATAGAGAACCAAGTGCCGTCTCTGCTCCCAGCCCTGGACCACCCGGGGACCGATCTGGGGCTGACTTGTGAGGTTGGACCCACTCCCTCCGTCTGCCGCTCAAGCTGCTGGGCACTCTGGAGTGAGAGCTCTGTGTGACCAGGGCAGGGCTGGTTAGGAGAGGGCAGGGCCCAGGCTCTGCGGGGCGTCCCTGAGGGAGGGCTGGCCCCCCCCACCCCACCATGACCTACGGCCCCAGGTTCCCTAGCCCCATCCTCGGCCCCACTCTCCACTCCACCCCACCAGAGACTCCACCCCACCCCCAACTCCCCCCGCGCCAGAATCTCATTCCGCCCCTGCTGTCAACCCAGGGAAGCCCCAGGTGCCCGGATGTAAGACCAGTGACTTGCACTTGAGGGGTCAGAGAGTAGCGGGGGCCTCGCTCGGAGGGGTGGGTTGATATCGGTGGAGGGAAGCGGGCCCAGGCTCTGTGAGGAGGTAAGGCGAGACCCTCAAGGAGGACTCAAGACCCCCCCACCCCAGATACAGGACCCCAAATAATACAGCGCCGCCCCTGCGCCAGCCCTGGATCACCCCGCAGGGTCGGGCTTATCAAGCTGGGCCCAGGCTCTGACTGGAATCAAGGTCAGAACCCTGAGGGAGGGCGGAAGGCCTCCACACCCCTAACCCAGCCACCACCACCGTGACCTACAGCCTCAGGTTCCCCACCTCCATCCTCACCCCCCCTACTCCACCCCATCGCACCCCAGCCCCCAAGTTTCCCGCGGCAGAATCCGGTTCGGCCCTTGCTGTCAACCCAGAGAAGCTCCAGGTGCCCGGATGTAAGGCCTCTGACTTGCGCACTGGGGGTCAGAGAGTAGCAAGGGCTTGGTTCTGAGTGGTGGCTGAAGATCGGTAGAGGGAAGCGGGCCCAGGCTCTGTGAGGAGGCGAGGTGAGACGCTGAGGGAGGACTGAGCCCACCCCAGATAGAGGGTCCCAAATAATCCAGCACCACCTCTGCTGCCAGCCCTGGACCAGCCGGGGGCGGACTTCTCAGGCTGGGCCCCCCTTCGCCACCCCACCGCTTAAGCCCCAGGGGACTCTGGGTCAGAGCTTGGTGTGACCATGGCAGGACTGGTTAGGAGAGGGCAGGGGCCAGGCTCTGCCAGGCATCAGGGTCAGGACCCTGAGGGAGGGCTGAGGCCCCATAGAGGGAGTCAGTGCCCCTGCAGTCAACCCTGGGAAGTTCCGGGCATGGCGGGCAAGCGGATCCTGATGTCTGCATCCTGGGCTGACCAAGGGAAGGGGCTTGGTATCGTTAGCGTGACCGCGGGAGAACAGAGGGAGGGCCCAGGTCCTGCTAGGAGACAAGGGAAGCCTGAAGGGACGCAGCACCCCAGGACAAGGGGCCCACCCGCCCCCATCTGAGACCGAGGCGCCTCCTCATTCAGCCTCGGGAATCCGACAGATAGAGACTCAGGTCCACAGAGGGGTGGGGCCCAGCCCTCTAGGAGACCAGGGAAGGAACAAGATGGAGGACAGAGGGGACCCCAGGGTCCAGCTCAGTGGGGATCGTGACCTGGGCTATCCCGGGCACGGTGGCCACATATAGTGCATTGTGGCTTCTGAGACCGGGTGTCAATGGGGACAGGGCTGTGCTATGAGGAGTGGGGCCTCAGGTGAGCAGAAGGAGGAGTCCCAGAGCCCTGAGGAAGGATTCACCAGACCTCTCATCCCAGACCTAGGAAACCTGCCCCTGCCGTCAGTCTTGGGAGGCCCCAGGCAGGACTGTGAGGAAGGGAAGTGCCCCACTCCACCCCCAAAACACACTTTCTCAAAGAGGGTCTAAGGGAGAAGTTGTCCTTGGTCTGCAAGACTCATCTCTGGTTCAGCAAAATGGAAGGGGCCAGATTCTGTCCGAAGTAAATACGAATACCTAGAGGGCACCCAGACTGACGAGGCCCCCTGACACCTGCTCCTTTGGTCAGCCTTGGGTATCTCATGTATGAGTGACCATGAGGTACCCCCTCACTTCTGCCTCCCGGGTCTCTGGGAAGTGGGGGCCTTGGTCCAAGGGGCGTCCTCAGCTCCGCAGAGGGAGCCACACCTGGTCAGCACAGGGTGGAATCCAGGGTCTTCCAGGAGTGACGGGGAGGAAGTTTGCTGAGGACCGAAGATAAGAAGGTACCTCCATGCTCCCAAAGAACAAGGGACCTCACAGACACTGGTGTCACCTATTCTCAGCCCCAGGTGGCCCCAAGCAGGAATGACATGTGGCATGCTGTCATTTCTCCCACGTGATTGGGGATGAGAAGTCTCAGGGAGGTGAATACCTTGATCCCAGGGGCACTGAGAGATTCAACAGAGGGATCCACACCTGGTCAGCAGAAGGAGGACTCCCAGAATCAGCATGACCCAAGGTGTACCCCCTTCATGAGGAATGGAGGTACTCCCAGCCCAGAAAGAAGCCACCCCACAGAGTCTAGGTGAACTCTGTTCTTAGATCTGGGGGAGAGGGGGAAGCCTGATCAAGGATGGTGCTAAGTGGCAAGCTCACTTGTACCACGGCAGGAAGTTGAGGAACCCTCAGGGGGATGAGGCGTTGGTGTAAAGGGAGATGTCTGCTCATCTCAAGGGTTTAGGGGTCGAGGAAATATAAGTCCCAGCAGGAGTAAAGATGAATAACCCACAGGAGGACTTTGGAACACCCACCTCATACCCGAAAGGGTCAGCTGCTGGGGTCAGCCCTGGACACTCCACGCAGGGGTGACAGATGTGGGGCCTCCTCACCTCTGTTTCTGGATCTCAGGGAGGTGAGGACTTTGTTCTCAAAGGGTGTGTGGACAAAACAGGGACCCCCTTTCTTCGACAGACACAGTGGTCCCAGGATTGGCCAGCAGTCCAGGTGAGGAACCTAAGGGAGGATTGAGGGTACCACCAGGCCAGAGAAACTCTCAAATCGAGAGAGTTTTCCCTGCCCCTACTGTCACCCCAGAGAACCTGGGCAGGGCTGTCTGCTGAGGTCCCTCGTCTATCCTGGGATCATTGGTGTCAGGGAGGGCTGGCCTTGGTCTGAGGGGGCTGCACACATCAGCAGAGGGAGGGTCCCAGGCCCTGCCAGGAGTCAAGGTACAGACTGAGGGGACCCCACTCACCAAACACAGAGGACCCCACTCACCAAACACAGAGGACCTAGCCCGACCCTGCCCCTTCTGTCAGCTGAGGGAAGCCGCTGGGTGGACGGACTCCCCTCACTTCCTCTTCAGGTGTCTCATGGAGATAGGGCCTCAGGTCAACAGAGGGAGGGTTCCAGACCCTGCAGGCATCAAGATGAGGACCAGGCAGTATCCTCATCCCAGGACACATGAACCCCATTGAATTTGGACATCTCTTACTGTACTTCCGGGGAAACCCTGGGCAGGTGTGTCCAGATGTTGGTTGGGACATGTCCTTCTGTTCCATGTCAGGGATGTGAGCTCTTGATCTGAGAGATTCCCAGGCACGTAGAGGAATGGAGTCCAGTCCCTGCCAGGAGAAAGGTGAAGGCTCTGAATGAGCACAGAGGGGACCATCCACCCCAAAAGTGTAGAACTCAGAGTGTCCAGCTCGCCCTCTTGACGGCACTGAGGGACCGGGGCTCTGCCTGCAGTCTGCTGCCTAAGGGCCCCTCGATTCCTCTTCCAGGAGTTCCAGGAAGCAGGCAGGCCTTGGTCTGAGACAGTGTCCTCAGGTCACAGAGCAGTAGAGGCCCAGGCAGTGTCAGCAGTGAAGGTGAAGTGTTCGCCCTGAATGTGCACCAAGGGCCCCGCCTGCCCCAGCACACATGTGAACCCAGAGCACCTGACCCCATCCACCCTACTATCACTCATAGAGCCTTGATCTCTGCAGGCCAGCTGCATGCTGAGTAGCCCTCTCACTTCCTCCTTCAGGTTCTCAGAGGACAGGCTGACCAGGAGGACAGGAGCCCCAAGAGGCCCCCGAGCAGCACTGAAGAAGACCTGTAAGTCAGCCTTTGTTAGAACCTCCAAGGTTTGGTTCTCAGCTGAAGTTTCTCACACACTCCCTCTCTCCCCAGGCCTGTGGGTCTCCATCGCCCAGCTCCTGCCCACGCTCCCGACTGCTGCCCTGACCAGAGTCATCATGTCTCTTGAGCAGAGGAGTCCGCACTGCAAGCCTGATGAAGACCCTGAAGCCCAAAGAGAGGACTTGGGCCTGATGGGTGCACAAGATCCCACAGGCGAGGAGCAGGAGGCTACCTCCTCCTCTGATGAGGAGGAGGAGGTGTCTGCTGCTGGGTCATCAAGTCCTCCCCAGAGTCCTCAGGGAGGCTCTTCCTCCTCCACTTCCGTCTACTACACTTTATGGAGCCAATTCGATGAGGGCTCCAGCAGTCAAGAAGATGAAGGGCCAAGCACCTCGGTCGACCTAGCTCACCTGGAGTTCATGTTCCAAGAAGTACTGAAATTGAAGGTGGCTGAGTTGGTTCGTTTCCTGCTCCACAAATATCGAGTCAAGAAGCCGGTCACAAAGGCAGAAATGCTGGAGAGTGTCATCAAAAATTACAAGCACTACTTTCCTGTAATCTTCGGCAAAGCCTCCGAGTTCATGCAGCTGATCTTTGGCACTGAGGTGAAGGAGGTGGACCCCGCCAGCCCCTCCTACATCCTTGTCACTGCTCTTGGCCTCTCATGCGATAGCATGCTGGGTAATGATCATAGCATGCCCAAGGCGGCCCTCCTGATCATTATCCTGGGTGTGATCTTAACCAAAGACGACTGCGCCCCCGAAGAGGTTATCTGGGAAGCGTTGAGTGTGATGGGGGTGTATGTTGGGATGGAGCACGTTTTCTATGGGGAGCCCAGGAAGCTGCTCACCCAAGATTGGGTGCAGGAAAACTACCTGGAGTACCGGCAGGTGCCCGGCAGTGATCCTGCGCACTATGAGTTCCTGTGGGGTTCAAAGGCCCATGCTGAAACCAACTATGAGAAGGTCATAAATTATTTGGTCATGGTCAATGCAAGAGAGCCCATTTGCTACCCATCCCTTTATGAAGAGGCTTTTGGGGGGGAACAAGAGGGAGTCTGAGCACCAGCTGCAGCCAGGGCCAATGTTTGTGGGGTCAGGGCCCCATTCAGCAGCTGCCCTGCCCCATGCGACATGAGGCCCATTCTTCACTCTGTGTTTGAAGAGAGCAATCAGCGTTCTCAGTGGCAGTGGGTGGAAGTGAACACACTGTATGTTTTCTCTGGGTTCCTTATCTATTCGGTGATTTGGAGATTTATCTTTGCTCCCTTTGGAATTGTTCAAATGTTCTTTTAATGGTCAGTTTAATGAACTTCACTGTCGAGGTTAATGAATGACAGTAGTCACACTTATTGCTGTTTATGTTATTTGGGAGTAAGACTCTTGCTTTTGATTCACATGGGGAAATCCCTGTTATTTTGTGAATTGGGGCAAGATAACATAGCAGAGGAATTAATAATTTTTTTAGAAACTTGAACTTAGCAGCAAAATAGAGCTCATAAAGAAATAATGAAATGAAAATGTAGTTAATTCTTACCTTATACCTCTTTCTCTCCCCTGTAAAATTAAAATATATACATGTATACCTGGATTTGCTTGGCTTCTTTGAGAATGTAAGAGAAATAAAAATTGAAAGAATAATCTTTCCTATTCACTGGCTCATTTTTTCTTCAAACATGCACTGAGCATCTGTTGTTCGGAAAACCCTGGGTTAGTAGTAGAGAGGCTAGGTAAGCCAGACCCACCCCTTCCCCATAGGGTGGTGAAGTCTAGGAGCCACAATCCTAAAATTAAGATGGTGCCATGTCCTCTAAGAACTAGAGGAAAATAAAACATGGGTGAGGGTTTGCGGCTCTAGGTGGCAGCAGTCGAGTGTATATGCCCTGAGCCAGGGTCTTTCGGGCTTTGGGAAACTGCAATTCCTTCTGGGGGAGGTAATTCTATTGAAGCTGGATGGTGCCAGAGCTAGATTCTCAGAGGATGAGAGAAAGGCCTGGAATGGAGAACTGCTCAGCAGTTCCTTTTGGATAGTGGATGAACAGAGAAGAGTCTCCACCTGGGACAGGAATAGAAGGAAATTGTCCAGCGCTCTCGTCTCGGTGCGGTTGAACACAGTGCAGGGGCTAGGTGATGGATACCTATCATCTGCAAGGGTTTCCCGCAAGATGAGGGTGAATCTCCCAGGAAGGGAAGCCCAGAAGTCACTGGCCAGGTGCTTTTCTGCCTGTCTGGGAGAGCCAGAGTTGATTGTATTTAAAAGGCGTTCTAATCAAGTTATCTCAGGTGGGATTTGACCAATTGTAAGCAAAGGTTAGATTGTGAGTGTTAACAAAATAAGTGAAAACAGTGTCTTGGATCAAAAAGCAGGTGGCAGAGAGGAAAGGAGTTGATTCTCGATTCAGATTCTAGGAGCTCTGAGCTGCATTCAGCTGCGCAAGACTCCAGAACACCCGACTTTTGAAGTACATTCGCAAAGAGGAAATACTTAATTTCATTGACGAAACTTCCTGTTTGGGCTGATTATCCCATGTCCTGTTGAGCTGTATATTCTCTGGTAAGTCTTGGAGAACAACAACATTTACGAAATCCCAGAGTTCTAGAGTCTAGGGTCAAATGGTATTACATACTCGGGTGGCTGAGGCAGGAAAATCCCTTGAACCCAGGAGGCAGAAGCTGTAGTAAGATGAGATCTCACTACTGTACTCCAGCCTGGGCAACAGAGCCAGACTCTGTCTTAAGAAAAAAAAAAAGTTTATTTTATGACCCAAGAGACAATCTGCCTGGCAAGTCTTCCAGGTGTGCTTGAAAAAAGACATATTCGGATGTTGGTGGTGCTGTGATATTTGCATCCATTGTATTTCTGAGTCATCCTGAATAATGGCTGAGAACTGGGTGATGATCTACCACTAGTTCATTCCTCCAGTCCTTAGTAACTATGAAGATTTCTGCATGAGCACCTTAGGTTGGGCCCAGGAATTTCTGCTCAATTTAATGTGTTCTCTTGCTTACACTTGCTACTCTCAGTGGTTTTTCCCAAGTTCACTGGGTCCCTGGGGACTTCCTCTGATCCTCTAGCTAGAAGGTAAGTCTTTGGTGTCCTCACATTGCTTTGCATTTCCCTTTCAGGAGTCAGGCTAGGCGGCCAAGTGTTGGAAGGATAAACAGAGAAACGTAATATGGATTTCTTTCACACTTGTTTTTCCTCCAGCTTCTCTCAAGACTTTTTTCTCTTTGATTTTCTGCAGTTTGAATATGATATACATAGATGTATACTTTTTAGTATTTATCCTGTTTCCTGTTCCATGAGCTTCCTGAATCTGCAGTTTCATGTCTGTCATTAATTGAGGGAATTCTCAGCCATTACCACTTCAAATATTTCCTCGGTTTCTTTCTCACCTTCTGAGCATGGTATCTCAGTTATACACAATGGTGCCTTTTGTAACTGTCTCACGCTTCTTGAATATTCTGTTCTGTTTTTTCCTTCCTTTTTTCTCTCTTTGCATTTCAGGTTTGGATTCTGCCTATTGATGAATTAATCAAAGATATCCTTCATTTCTGTTATAGTGGGCGTTGTTTTATTTTTCCTAATAAATTATTTTTATCATGATACAACACATATCACATAAATCCTCCTAACCATGGGAAGTGCACAGTTCAGGGGTCTTAATACATTCATACCCTTATTCAACCATTGCCATGTCTCATCTGAAGAACTCTTTTCCTCTGACAAAAATGAAACACTATACCCGTTAAACAATAACTCCCCATTTTTCCTCCCTCTCATCTGGTAACTAGCTTTCTATTTCCTGTCTCTATGAATTTGACCACTCTAGGTACCATAAGTAAATGATATCCTACGGTATTTGTCGTTTCATACCTGACTTATTTCACTTAGCATAGTGTCCTCCGGTTCAGTCACGCTGTACCTTATGCCAGAATTTCCTTCCTTTTGAATGCTGAATAATTTCCCATTGCATGTATATTGCATTTTCCGAATCCAATTATGTGTCAAGGGACACTTAGGCTGCGTTCACAGTTTAGCTACGGTGAACATTGCTGCTATATATATGGGTCTACAACTATCTCTTTGAGACTATGCTTTTACTTATTCTGGGTATACACTTAGAAGGGGAATTGCTATATAATATGGTAACTCTATTTGGAATTTTGTGAGGAATCACATACTGCTACCCACAGCAATTTTGTAACATTTTACATTCCAACCAACACAGAGATTCCAGTAACACCACATCCTTGCCAACCTGTTATTTCCTGGTTCCTTCTTGCTTTATTTGTTTTAACAGTAGCCATCCTAGTGAGTTGGAGGAGGTGGCTCATCGTGCCTTTGATTCCTATTTCCCTAATGATTAGTGGTGTTGGGTATCTTTTCTGGCGCTCATCAGTCACTTGCATATATTTTTAGGAGAAATGTCTATTCAAATATTTTACCCATTTTTGATTTTGTTGTTGTTGCTGTTGTTGTTTTGTCGTGTTTCAGGAGTTCTCTATACATCCTGGGTATATATCCCTTATCAGATATATGATTTACAGATATTTTCTCACAGTCTTTGACTTGCATTTTGACTCTGTTCATAGTGCTTTTTGATGCACAAAAGTTCTTAATTTTCATGAAATCTAATTTGTCTGTTTTCTTTTATTGCCTATTTACAGTGTTTTAGATTTTTAGTGCTTTCTTGTGATTCTTCTTAAAGAGTTTCCATCTCCCTGCTTATATCACCCACCTGTTCTTGCATGTTGTTCACTTTTTCCGTTAGAGCCCTTAGGCTATTCATCATAGTGGTATGAATTCTCAATCCGGCAATTCCAACATCTCTGCCATACCTGCGTCTGTACCTGATATTTACTCTTCAACCTGTGATTTTTTTTCCCCCTTCACTATGCCTTGTAACATTTTTTGATGAAAGCCAGTAGTCATGTCCTGGGTAAATGGAATGGAAGAGAAAGGGCCTTTCAGGTGAGAGTTTATTTTTATCTGACTATGCTGTAGACTGTTTACTGTTTGCTGGAGTTATATGTGTCAGAGGTTAAACTTTACTCAGGTGTCCTTGTTTTGTTCTTACCTCCTGTCTTGGATTTCCCTAGAGACTTTTTCTTCTTCTATTTTGTTTGTTTCTTTTAGACACAGTGTCACTCTGTGTTGCCTCGGCTGGTCTCAAACTCCTGGCCTCAAGTTACCCTCCCACCTTTGTCAACCAAAAATGCTGTGATTATAGGTGGGAGCCATTGTGCCTGGCATGGGACTCTTCTTAAATGAAGTTTGCGATGTGCACTTGTTTCAGTACTGTTCCCCTGCTATTACACAGGAGCCTACTGACATCGTGGAAAGGTATAGGGGAGAGGAAGCGTTCTATACACCTATGAGTAGGCCTGTCTTTTCATGGGCCTCTGCCACTGTGCCATGACCTGCACAAGTGCTTTTCATTTCTTACCCCCCAACTCTCCCCATACTTTTTGGTTGAAATTTCTTGTCAGAGAGCAGGAATCACCTATTTGAGGGTTTTAGATGCCTGCCCAGCTGTGGTTGATGCTGCCACCGCAGGTTACAGATTCAGGATTGGGGCTGGTGTAGAGGCAGGTTTTTTTGCCTCATTAGCCATGTCCTCTACGGGCCTGCCTTCCTAGCTCTTGGATGGTACAGAGAGACCTTCATACATACAGATTTTCCTATCCTTGTGTAATTCTCAAATTTAGGCTGCCTTTGAGTCCATGCTTGGAGACACAACAGGGAAAAACAGGACAGGCATTTCTCCACCATCCTGACCTTACTTCAACTTCTGGTTTCTTGCCCAGTGCTCCTTTTCTGAACCATGCACCCTTCTGGACAAGGCGTCTTTACAGGAAATTATCAGTAGGACCTGACACAGCAGGGAGAAACTGAGCTGCATATTGATGTCACTTATGCCGTTAGGGGTCCTGGACTGAACCAGTTAACACAAACCCCACTAACCACAGAGGTGCATCTTAGACAGCCACGTGGCTTCCCTCTTAAATTTCAGTATTAACATTTTCTTTATACTTGGCCAATTCAATCAATTGGGGCATCA